GGTAGCTCCAGGACTCGCTGACTGACTGTGAATAGCCGTCGCTGCTCCTTATGTAGCCTTGATCGGACAATTGTCGTCTGGTGCCTTGTTGCTAGCCACGCTGTCCGGAGTTGTTGACTGCTGCCTAGCAACCACGATATCCCTCGGTGACGTCACCGTTACGTTACCGTGCGGAGGAGGGGGAGGGGAGCGCTGACTCACCCGCCGCGTCACTGCTGGTGGGGGGGGTTCTCCTTTGCGCAACATGTCACATTATTATAATGCGTGCCCACACACTGTCAACTCTGTGAGGAATAAGCTACAGAGATTTAGTTGGGAAGTGCTTCAGCATCCACCCTACAGCCCAGATCTCTCCCCATGTGATTTTCACATTTTTGGAGACCAGAAGAGAGACATTTGTGAACATCGGTTTGCATCGAACGAAGATGTGTGTGGCTGAGTAAAGATGTGGTTCCGTAGACAGCCCACAAGCTTTTTCAAGGATGGGATTGACCGTCTTATCTCCCAGTCGGATAAATGTATTAACAGTTTTGGAGATTATTTTTGAGATAAGAAATGTTCTTTAATATGTTTTGGCTTCTGACCCGTTTTCATTTGACTGCCCCTCATATATTACCTTGTTTTCATTCAGTCAAACAATTTCTATGAAACAAAAGCTTGTTAGTATTAAAAAATGAGACAGACAGCACACTCAGTGAAAGAACATACAAAACTTTACTTGCCATACCACTAATAATTATGCAAAATTAAACAGGAAGTTCAGATTTTGTCTTTCAGTGCATACTAAACACTTACAGAATATTTAAGAAATTAGTCATATGAAGGATACTAAAGGTAATGGAACTGGTAATGTTTTAAGTGCATCAGATAGTATATCATCTGACACAGAGTCCTGCAATACTAAGCATGCTGGTTGATGCTGAGCGGTTACACAAATTAAAGTTGACAGATCAACAGCTAGTACTGTATCTGTGACCTGGATTACAAAATTGAAAGAAAAACGGTAAAAGAAAACTTCTGGAGCAGAGTGTTTGAGTAGGATACAAGACAAGCCTTAACACACATACAAAAGGGGAGCTTATGGGAAGACAGAATAAAGGAAAGGAACTTGTCAAAGGACAACCCATTTTGGGAGAAACATTAACTGATAATGATTGAATAAAATGTTACAATTAGCACATACAGTTTTATAGAACAGTACTATGACGTGGATGTTTGCAAATATGGCCTTAATGACTGGTCATGTTAAAAACATTTAGGTGCTGAATTCATTCAGGGCATGCAGATAAAAAATTTCAAGATATGAACAAAACTTGATAACATATTCAATTTGGTTACTTGTGACGTTCTGTATTATTTGTGAACATAGGTGGTGGTTGCACTTCCAAATTACAGATCTAATCCAAGTTTACATATATCTCAAACACAATTTTTCTTCGCATTAAAAACATCTAACAAACCTGTGGTAGTTTTGATATAAAATCATGGGCATTTGCTTCCTTAGCAGCCTCTTGGATATCACTTTCTGTTGCTCCATCAGCTCCATAGCCAATGTTCTCAGCAATGGTGGTATTGAAAAGAACTGGCTCTTGTCCAACTACACCAATGTGTTTTCTCAGCCATGAAATATTGAGTTCTTTCACATTATTACCATCTATCATAACCTGTACAGAAAGAGTTTCCAACCATTATAAAGAAATTTAAATTAGTAATTAATAAACCTTTCTCTTCCATTTATAGACATGAAAGCCTAAAGCTTGACATTCTGTCATTATGTGTCAGAGTTGTTAGTATTCATGGATAGGACAACCAGGCTGCCCTGAGATGTACCTATGCTTCAGTCAGCACTGCAGTCTTTACCTTTGCTGAACACAAATTCACACTGTTGATTCTGAACACAGACAGCGAAATATTGATTTACTGTATTAGACTGGAACAACAGATTGATTTAAGAATGCAGTCAGCATTGCCACTATACACACTGACAATGAAAGAATGGCTGATGTATATGGAGCAGGTGATAAGATGAGAACTGGCTAGGGAAACCAAGTACTCACAGAAAACTTGTCCTTGTGCCACTCTGTTCAGCAAATCCCAATTGACCTGGATTGGGATTGAACCTAGGTTGCTAGGTGGGAAGTTGGTTGCTTAACTGGTTGTTTGTGAAAACTGTAGCCAGAGATAGTAATTGTTCATTCTGAATGTTCTGCCTGTTTGTTGCATTAGAGATCATCCAGAATAATGCATGGATGGGTATTAATGTAATGGAAGATTACAAAGTGCACAAAGGGAGAAAAGAAATAGGAGTCACAAGAGCTCGGTCAGTATAGCTATGGGCTGGATGGCTAGGGTTCAATTCCTGGCAGAAGCAAAATCCTTCACTTAACCTTAGCAACCAGACTGCCCGCTCTAGGGCTCACCCAGCCTCCTATCCAATGGGTACCAAGAGTGAGTTCCTCCAATGGTGAAATGGCCAGGGTTTGAAGCTGACCACTCACCTCCATCTAGTGCTGTGGTCAAGAATGGTGGAGTCACACCTTCACTCCCCCATATTTCTTCATGTAATAATGCTTAATTAATAAAGCACAAAGGCAACATTAACTTTTTATCTATTTACTTTCACATGGGGAAAAAAGGCACATAAGGCAGTAATGTTGAAATAGAACTTATTTACTAACGAAGATGAGCACTTCTTGAGGAACCGCCAATTCTGCAGCTACTCAAGAGTTCCCAGCATTTTATGGAACCCAAAAGTTCATTACCGTGTTCACAAGAGCCCTCCACTGGTCCCTATCCTGAGCCAGATCAATTCAATCCATACCATCCCATCCTATCACTCTAAGGTCCATTTTAATATTGTTCACACACCTACACTTTGATCTTCAAAGTGGTGTCTTTCCTTCTGGCTTTCCCACAAATATCCTACATGCATTCCTCTTCTCCCCCATTCATGCTACATGACCTGCCCACCTCATCCTCCTTCACTTGATTATTCTAATTATACTTGGATATGAGTACAAGGTATGAAGCTCCTCATTATGCAGTTATCTCCAACCTCCTGTCACTTCATCTCTCTTTGGTCCAAATATTCGCCCCAACACCCTGTTCTCAAACACCCTCAGTCTCTGTTCTTCCCTTAATGACAGAGACCAAGTTTCACACCCATACAGAACCACAGGCAACATTATAGTTTTGTATATTCTAACTGTTATGTTTTTGGACAGCAGATGAGAAGACAAAAGGTTCTGGACTGAATGGTAGCAAGCATTACCCAAGTTCAATGTCCTCTTAATTTCCTCCTCAATCAGGTTTTGATTTGTTATCGTCGTTCCCAAATATCAGAACTGTGCCACATTTTCAAAACACCTGTTATCTATTTTATGTCACGATTTTTCACTGCATGTTGGTGACGTGATAGTGACATATACTTAGTTTTTTCTGTGTTTACTTCTAGACCAACCTCCTTAATTGCGTGAATTAAAGTTTGTGTTTGTCTTTATGGTATCTACATTATCACCCAGTAGATCCACATCATCAGCACAGACCAACAGCTGATGTGTCCCATTTAATTTCAGTCCCACCTGGACCTTCCTAATTGCATATTCTAAGGCAAAGTTGAAAAGGAGTGGCGATAAAGCATCTCCTTGTTTTAGACAATTCTGGATAGGAAATTTATCAGACAAATGTTTACCTAGACAGACTTTACTATACATTTCGCTTAAACACATTTTAATCAGCCTAACCAGTTTCATGGGTATTCCAAACTTAATCAGAATATTGTACAATACTTCCCTCCTAACTGAATCATAGGCTTTCTTGAAGTCTACGAAATGCTGATGTACTGTTTCATTGTACTCTCATTCTTTCTCCAATATCTGACGAACCCCCTCATTGGTGGTTCCACCTTATTGTGGTGAGGGGGTTTGAG